TTAAATCTGGCCTCAGACACTTACTAACTGTGTAACCTTGGGCAAGTCACTTAACCTCTGTTTGCCTTAATCCACTGGAGAAGAAAATGGCAAATCACTCCAGTATCTTTGCCAAGGAAACCCCATGGACAGTATGGTCCATGCAGTCATGTAGAATTGAATACAGCTAAATGACTGAACAACAACAAAAATACTTCACAGTATACAAACTACATCCCTCACCAGAGCAAGATGTGTTTCCCAAACTTCCATTAATGCATTGTTTTAATCTTTAGTTTTAATTTTCCTTGATAGTTTTTATAAACTAAATTTGCTCATGTTTTACTGATGTTTTTTTGAGAGAGGCTAGATTTTAGATAATTCTTACTTCTCTTCTTTAACCTGTTGTGCTGGTTTTTTTTTCTATCCTAATGTGACTTACCTGTTTCCTTAGAATTTAGGCTCTTACAACATTATCCAAGAAGGTTATTGGCATCCTGTGTGCTCCACCTTATTAAATTCTCCTCCCCTCCCCAGTTTTCTTGTTTCCTATTTCTTTCTTTCTTACTCAGAATTCTGTTTCTTAACAGATTTATAGTTAACATTCATTAAGATTGCACATCTGGGCAAAGCCTGGTCCCTTCTATCATGGAACTTTTACATGTAAAAAATTTGATAGCTATATAAGAGAATATACATAAATTAAGTAATATAGCAAATATTTCCCCAAATTTCTATTTTTCCATTTTTCTTTCTCCTTAGTCATTTTAAGGTACAAGAGAGGAGAAAAAGCATACACATTCTTTTATCTTGCCTTTCTCCATCCCCCTCTGTTCTACCCATATTACTCAGTGTTCTTCTAACAACCTTGTGCATTATACCACCAAGTTTACCTTTCTTTCCTTCTTCAAGTAGATCTTAAAGTCTATCCTATATAGCCTATAATATATGTACTATATAATAATAAAAAATTAATTATGTTTAGAAAATGCCTGGTGCCCATTAAAGGAAATCAGTGTATATAAATCTAAGGCATAATTATAATTATTAAAATAGCAAATATTGCTCAATTTTTCAATTTGATAATTTATATTACTAATTTAAAAGTTGGTTCAAAATATTTAATTTCAGTGTTTTGTTTTGAAGGACTTATAGAAAAATAAATAGGATGACTCAGATAAGTAGACACATTTAAAATATAATTAGATAATATATCCTTTTACAGTTAAATATCTATTTTCTGGAATACTTATGTCCTGGGATGTTCTACAAAATTGAATTTTCTGGTTAACTAGAAAATTTTTTTTCAATGATAATTACTTTGGTGAGGAGTTAATTTGTACTAACCTTACAATATAGCTTGAAAATTGTTTTGAACAAAACTTTGAAATAAACCTGTTCTCTTTCAGATTTTTTTTCTTGTAGAAGGACAGTATAGCCAAATGTTTCTCTTACAGTAGAATTTTGGTTGAGTTTCAGATAATCAAAATTTTATTGCAACAGGCAAACTATTTGGAGGGAAGAAAAAATGGACTACCACATACTCTAAAATATAGAGAAATGTATTATGAATACCATAAGTTTAATTAAACAGATAATTGTGAATAATTTAATTTTGATAATAGGTGAACATCTGTACAGGAGGTTTCTTTTTTAGGGTACAATATCCTCCTCATGTTAAAAGTGACAAACAGGACAAAACTCCACACTTTTTACAGAGCAACTCCTATTAGTATCTCAGTCAACATTCCTTAATTCCTCTTTTGAAAAATCCTATATCTGTGTTTCAAAACCTAATGTTGGTTGTTTTTTTAAATTCTCTGGACTGTAGTTTTAAAAAAGAAAAATGCAAAAGACTTTAAGGAATATATACGAAGTAATTTACTATTGTAGTTTTTTTTGTTTTTATATTATCAGTTTTTATTTTTACAGAAAAAAAATCCAAACAGCTGTGCCCTTTATGTATTAATTCTTGGAAATAAAAATAAAAATAAAATCATTTGTCTTATTAAAAAAACTAGATTAAAGGCATAAGAAGGGAGGAAAATAAAAATTGTTTATGGTTTGCCACAAGACAAATATTTAATTAGAAATAAAAGCTATTCACGCTGATTTCCTATAAACTAAATCCTCTAATGTAAATAAATCTTGTGCTTTTTTTTTCAAAGCATAGGTTTGAATCTACTTAAGTACTGTTTTCATGTACCCATTACATGCTATTTAACAAATTTAAAAGCTATGAGAGACTATCAGATAGATACATTACTTTTTCGCTCTAAATTCATGAGTGAACAAATGTTTGTATACATAAAAGGCATATAAACTGTAGTATTCCTACTAGAGTTACTACTGGAGCTGGTAAATCTGCTTTGTAAAGGCTACCTTTGTGACCATCTAAAATACTAAATGTAGGCAATAAATAGGGGTTTATAGTAAAATTATAATATTTGCATTTTATACTTTGCTACCTCAGACTTAATGTTATAAAGGATACCAGAAGCAAATAGACTTCTGTCATACATTGATTTTTAAACTGGATGGTTTGAAGTAGTTGGAATTGAAGACTAAAATATTTTAAAACTCCATAGTGAGTGTTTTTCTATGGAATTCTAAGAATAGTTGGACTAATTTGTATCTCTGCTTGAAAACAAAATTGAGTAAAGGTCTTGCTGTCAGGTGGGATCTTGTCAAAGTTTAAACCTTATTCAAAATAAGCTGTCACATAGAAAAGAGAATATTAAATGATACTGAGTACTAAAAGAAATCTTTTTAAATGAAGAATTGAAAAATTGCTTGGTCTCTTCTGTAAAAACTATTGCTATTGAAATTTTATTTTTTTCTGAAGACCAACTATTTGGAGAGGCAGTGTCATATAGAAAAGGCACTTTCTTCCCTAATTTTTGATCTCTGTGACTGTGGGTAAGTCATTGAACATCTCTGAGCCTTCCTTTCCTTATCTGTAAAATGAGAGTGTAGAGGCAGTCTGGTTTAGGTGATAGAATGCTAGGCTTGGAGTCAGGAAAATCTGAGTTCAAATTCTGCCTTTGTCACTTATTTAGCTCTGTGACCTTAGGCAAGCCACCTGGTAGGTCTTAGGCAGCTACTTCCCTAAGCCTTTTCCATTTTCTGCAGTGGTACGTGGAATTTCCATACAGGGACTTTACTACACTGATACTATCACAAAAGAAATTAAGTGTAATAATACTTGAATAAATCACCTCAAGGTGGAATGAGAGCTTTGTAAACCCAACTCTTTCTTTGTGAATATGGATTGTATTTTGAGTAGTGCTTGCTTATAATATGTTTTGTCAAAATATGGTATCTTTATTTGTTTGTCCTCTGTTTCCTTATTGAATTGATTTAGGAAATAAGGCACAGGGATGCTGTGGTTTTGCCAAGATTCTATAGTATGTTAGCATTGGTACGAAATAATATTCTTATTTCTCTTGTGACCTCACAACCTTTATTTGATTGCATTGTACTGCATTTTCCTTAGGATTAGGGTACTCAGCAAAGCAAAGTTAATGAATCTTTTTTATCTGTGTGAAAGAGATAATTTGAAAGATAATATAATTTATGTTTAGAATATTTTAAGTGAAAAAATTATTTTTAAATGGCTCACTACTTGTATTTTATTCAGGTCATTTAGAAGAAAATACCAAAAAAAGGAAATGAAAAAATTGTTATGCTGATTAAGTCAGATGTTTGTATGTTAAGGTAGTAAGTCCTAGTGGAAAGTAAACTGGTTTTGTTTTCATAAGACCTATGTTTGGTTACAGGCTCCCTCACTGCAAGGCCCCTTCCAGGTCGATTCCTAGGATTTCCTAATTAAATAACTTCTTTGAGCCTTAGTATCCTTTTCTAGAAAATGGGGATAATAAGACTTAAAGGAACTCTCAAGAATTGGTGAGAGGAAAGTGCCTTTTAAAACTTGTTTTATCAACAATTTTTAGCATTTATTAATATGTTGTTATAGCATACAGATAAATGGAAAATAATTCAAGACAGCTTTATTTTTTTATAAGCACCTTTTCTCCCCAGGAGATAAAAACTACATAATAATAATAATAATAAAATAACCATTTGACATAGTTTGTTCAGTTGGAATGACCATTACTTAATTCTGGATGAGTAGATCACGAATCATTTGCAAGCCTTAGAATCATTATTTCAAACAATGATTTAGTACTTTCCTAGCATCCATTGAAGACAAGAAAGAGGATCTTCAGAATTTCGTATCTCAATGAGGTACAGAAGGAGAAATGGTGATGGGTATGTTATGATGATAATGATAACCAGGATACAAATAAAACTTGCATTTTGTGTACTGTGAGGCTGTAGGCCTGTCACAGAAATCACATTTGATATTGGAGGCAGCTCTGAAGTTTATTATAAAAATTAAAAAGAGTAGGATTTGCTGGTGGTATCTTATGTTCTCCACACATAAAAAAATATTTGTTTAAATTCCTCCCTCTTATATTTAATTCCAATAATTTTAAAATGCAATTCATTTTTTTAAAGAAAGACCTAAAGGTTATTCTTTAATCTTTTTTTTACCATAGTGAAAGCTACATATTGTAGGCTTATTGCTGCCTTCATCATATAAAAATCATTGCTTTAGATTTTTTTCATTATATAATGTGGTATTTTATTAATACACCTGAGTTTGCAATTTTCTTCTTAATCCTTTGCCTGTTCAGGTTTTCAGTCTTGAAAACTGAGAAAAGGAGTTGCTAATTTTTCCTATATGTGATTATGGATAGAAGAAAGAATATATAAGGTTAATTTTTAGATATATCACTTAATGGTAAATATGGGCTATTGTAAAACAATGATTGGCTTAAGGAAGTAAATTAATTCTAATTGATTTGAATTATAATTTGAGGTTTTAAATTAAAATGATATTTAAGTTAGACATTAACTTAAGTGTAGCTAGGGTAAATGGATCAGAAAATTCAATTAAAAAAATAAAGCATACAGGTTTTGATTGAATTTTAAAATGTATACTGTTTTAAGGCTGTTCATTTATTTTAATTTTTTAGAAAATATGACTTACATGAATATTTTTCTAGTGGACAGAATAATGACAAAATATACACAATGATGTTACTTTAACAAACTGCCATGCAACATATACATTAAATAATGAAGAAATTGAATATATAAGACCTAATCTATTTAACATTTAATATTGAAATTTTACACTATAACCAATACTTTAAAAATTTCCCCCTTATTTGGCAGTCATGTTTTTACAGTTTAAAAAAAACAACAAAATTCTTGGGAATGGGGATTTGGTGAAAACTTGTTTTTTGCTTAGTCTGTAATGACCTGTGGTACTAAACATTTCTCTCTTACTTCACTGTCTTCAAAAGTAATTGTTTTATTCCTTTTAGGATCTATCCAAGAATTGTGTATTACAGCATTATTAGGCATAGGATCTGCTTCCACAATTGAAACAACTCGCTTTTTCATTTTACTTTTCAAGACTTTTTGAAATTTTTGTCTAGTAAATGCATATAGTAGAGGGTGAAATATGGTAGTTCCATATGCCATAACTAGAAAACATAATCTTAGTTTTACCAGAAGGTCACTTGGGCCCAAACATAAAATGGTGGTGTTTAAAACAGAAATTGGTGTCCAGCAGAGAAGAAATGTTGAAATAATCAACAGAGACATTCTGAAGACTCTCTTTTGCCTCTCCCGTCGTTCTCGGTGTCTCTTCACGGCTCGCCGGAGAGCAATTATGACAGAAACAGAAGTTCTTACACCAAAAACTACATTTCTTCCGCCACTGCTTTGGGATACGTCGGTAGTCTCATGCTGTGTGGTCAGAGAAATTGTCTTTTTCTTTCTTGCTTTCTTCTTTTGCCCTGTTGAAAATCTTGTGCCTATTCGAATATTTAGGGCTTGAAGTATTTTGGTATAGGTAATTAGCATTACTATAACAGTGAAAAAGAAGATTGGAATCTGTACTAGCAAGTGATAGTACATCCCCAGCTCAGTGTGGTATTCATTTCTACTGACACAGAGAAGTGTCTTGTTTTTCCATCTGCTTTCACTTTGAAGACTGAAAAAATTGACCTCAATAAAGGGAATTAGGAAAGAGAAAAATGAGACAATCCATATGGATGTCATTAACATGACAGCTCTTCCCATTGTCAGAATTCGGTTTGCAGGTTTTACAGAGATATCATATCGGTCCAAAGTGATTGCAAAAACGTTGATTGCAGTTGAGACACTTGCAAAGGAAACACAAGCCTCATGGAAGCAACAGATGAGAGCAGTATTACTCTCCAGTGAAAGTAGAAGAATAACTATAGTTAGAGGAATACATCCTACACAAATAATTACATCAAGTACATGAAGATTCATTGTAATAATGTTACTGACAGAGTTGATTAAGTTGGATTTCATGCAGTAAAGTACCAATACTGTGAGGTTACTGCCAAGTCCCAATACAATTTCTAACATGAGAAATCCAGTGAGAGATACTTGAAAGCTTAATGGATATGATGATGATGGGTACATATTGGTGTTGATGTCATCAATGTCATCTCGGACTGTAATGTTAGATTCAGACTGCATGTTGATTTCCGGAATGGGAGAGAAACACATTCTTTTGGAGCAGTTGGCTTTTTTCCTAGAAAGTGAAATAGAATAAACTATTTGATTTCCATACTTGTAATCACTTGGATAAATACCTAATGTATATCTTCTCTTCCTGTCAAAAATCTGTTTAGTCTTATATGTATTTCTGGATTTGATGTTTAGCAAAATTTACAAGGAAGAAAATTTGTCAATCTTAATTCATCAAGTTCACTTTATTATGTCATAAAAGGGCATTTAGAATGTACATATACATATGTGCGTGTGTTTTTTTAATATATATATATGCACACATATATTCTTGAAGAATTATTCATCTAAGGCTTTCCTTTATATATTGTAAAACATTTTAAATATTGAAAACATGTTTTGCTGGAAACTTTTCACTTTCATTTTTAAAAAAGAAATGATAAAATGGTTTAAAAATCCATTGGCATAGAAATGCTACTTTAAAAAATTTAATTAAAAATTTCTGAATTGTTAGAAAATATACATATTGCATATTCAGTATTGATATATAAGTAGTATGAGTGTAGATCTCTCTTTGAGATGTTTTCTTGTATAAAGATTTCAAATTAAAAGCACAGTTTTTAGATATTATGTATTAGGATACTAGTATTCTTTTAAATGCTATTTCCCTCTTCTTCATTTGAAAAATTTACATTACATAGCCAATAGTGCATTATGGTTACATAAGAAGTTTCCCCCATGATACCCAAATTTTTAAGTATTGTGATTAGAATAAAAATATTTCTTATTGGTCATTGAACTTTATATTATACAAATTTGTGAAAAGTCTTTAAAAAGATGCAAAAGGAAGTCACCTTGATGTGTACCAGGACAGTGAAACTTTAAGAAGGTGACACTCAGTTTTCAAAGGGAAAGTTTATTTCATGACCGCACCCTTTTGTGGAGCCTGAGAGTTTAAATTTAACAGCTGAATAATAAATTTGCATTTTCAGGATGTTTTAAGAATGTAACTATTGGCTTTATTTGAATCTAGGGTTTAAAGTGAAAAATGAGACTCTGGAGAAGTCCCAGAAATGTGTATTTTGGAGGGTTTTAAAAATTGTACTTCTGAAATTATCAGAAATGAATAATTTTGGAGATAATTAGAACATATCATCTATTGCTATTGGTGTAGATTCATTTTTAGTACCTAAGCCTGTAGATCAATTTGCCGATGAAATATGCATCTTTCAGCATGTTTCAAATGTCACATAGATATATTTTACATTTCTGAAAGACAGCCAATCAGCCATTGTTTCACATATTTGAAATATAAAATGTGAGCTAAAGTAGTCATAGTCTTAGACATGAAGTAGGAAATATAAACTTCAAAATTGAACTTAATCTCTTCATATTTTGCAAGTTTTGCCAGGCTTATATATAATTCCAGGATATAGATCCATTCATATTGTTAGCTTAAAAATTATTTCAGAAGCTGCTTTAAGTGATTATAAGATTGAATTCTGGAACACAGTTTAAACTAGAACATTACTAAAGGCGTATTTGTTCAAATAAGGCATGGTCAGAACTCCAACTGAAATCCTGTGAAAATGGAAAATTTTAAATGTGCCAAATGTTTTGAGCTGACAGATTAAACATCAGGTCTTTGTCACATCAGTTAGATTTATGATTCAATAGAAGCAAAAATTGTCAAGTTAGAAACATAATTTTTAAAAATACATCTTCATGTCAGGGTTTTCTTCTCTTGTAAATGTTAAACAGTGGTTGGGTGCATGCATCTTTTGACCTACCTGTTTTCTGTTGCCTCAGGGGTCTTTCAGTTTTTCAAAAATTGATACATGATGTCATTGACAGATTTTTGACATGCATTTTCACCTGGCAACAGTGAAGTAGCAATGTTCTATTTCCTGCCTTGTAGAATATTTCATTTATTTTTGTTCCAACACTTCAGCAGCAAGATTTATGTTTCAAAATGAGATTTTATTGGCTGATAGATTTCTAAGGACCAGTACATATTATTTATGTTTCTTTTGCTTTTTAAAGCCACTACTAATAAAATAAAGAACTTCTTAAGTGATATTAATTACATTGCCCTTTTGAGGACTATATGGCTGTGTATTTTTATTTTCCAGGATAAGTGAAAATAAAAATAGAGGCATCAGATTTCTGGCTTCAGAAATGTATTTAGACATCCTTTTGTTACAACTGGACATTTGTTTCTATAGTACTCTTGTTCATTAGTTGGACTAATGTCTTGATCACATAAATTTCTTTACATTATGAAATCCAGTTCATGAGCTTTTGATAAAGACCATCTGCTATTTAATTTGGTTTATTTTCATTAAAGAAGGATACATAACAGATCAAGAAATTCAGAGAAAAAATATCCATTAGTCATTGTGACAATTGATATGAATAACTTAATTTGTAGTGCAGAAAACCTGATACAGCTTCATTTAGCTTGCTGGTGAAGTATGTACATTCTCCTTTTGAAAATTCATTTTTCATTGTTTCTTCATGAATCAGTTGTTTCCACAATTTTGATATTTAAAGTAGAAAATCCTTTTAAAAATGCTCACCATTTTGTTTTCAGCCATATACCATTGCATTCTTCTCGTGAAAATATCCAATGTCTTCTCTTCAGAATACTGATTTGTTATGCATGCAAGCAGTCATAGACTTATTCCATGTTTTTCCTTTAACTCCTTTCTGTCTTTAGAAATACACATTATATCTTGTAGCTTGTGGTTCAGACTGCTAGAAAGATGTTCAGTCATTTGCATTCTTCATAATGTCAGTAGCAAAAACTGAATTAGATGATTTATGTCCTTAGGAGAAAAAGGAAAAAAAAAAGATTAAGATAAAGGGTGTCTATTAATTTTAAACTAATAATTAAAAAGCTACTGTAATACTATTTATGTAAAACCTATTTATAAAAATACATTAGCTCTATTATTAGACCTAGAACCATATATGTAAAATATAAGGAACATCCTTTTACTCTGCAAAATTGTATTTACTCCCTAGTTAATGATAGTGTTAACATTGCCAGTGAAAGAAAAAGAGAAAAGCTGATTGCTTCTTAACAACTGTTTTCTATTTCCGTATTTAAAGCCTGGCTTATATTTTCGGATCTTTGGAGTAAGTTTACATTATACACACTGATGTCTTCTTGTCTTTGTGATAAATTTGATTAAGCATCAGCTACCTTAGGAGCAATACAGCTTGTTTAATAACTATTTGGACATTGCTTGAAATTTGCTGTCCCAGACTAATCTTATATCAGTATTCTACAGGTAAAATTTTCATTGATGTTTGATTTAAGTAGTGGAAATAGATAAGCTAATGCAGAAAGGTGAGTGCACGTATAGCTGTGTTCTGTGAACAAATCCATTATTATGCTTGTGTTAGTATTGTTAAGCAATGAAAAACAGCTATATAGTAAACCTATTATTCCTTAAAAGAATTTCCTTATGAATCAATGTGTTTAAATTTTTTTTTGAAAAAAAAATCTATATGGACATTTAAGATATTTAGCTAGTTTAGAGTGACTTAAAAGCAAGTTTCACTAGTGAATTAATAGAAAATATCCTTAATAATCAATGCATTTTAAAAGAATTGCATGTTTAAAAAACAATGCTCTTTAAAATAAAAAAAACTCAGTTAATACATGCTTATCAACAGGCAGAACTAAACTCAAACATTCTTAAAATTTAGGCTGAACCGTCTTTTTTCCAAAGTAATTTTACCAAGCACAGATTATTCTGTTTCAGGAGCAATTAATAAGGAACATATCTTACCTCTGCTTAAAGATTGGCTATATTCTTGATACAGTTGAAGCATTTCCAGTTTTGGTTGATTTATTTCGTTCACTTGTTAGCAGAGTACTGAGGGAAGAGGGTCATAAACATCTCTTCAAAAAATGACCTTAATGAAAATATGTTCCTGGACCGTGCCATTGTTTCAGCACTCCTGCTAATGTATGGAACATGTAAGGCTGCTTAGAGGCTGCTGCAGTCTCTCACTCTTCCGACTGTGGAATCAATAAGCATCTGAAAATACATAATGAAAGTAATTTAACATACTGAAGGTTTCTTGTCTCCAGAGGCAACATTTAGATTCAGCCTTTCTAAAGAAGAACAGCAGTGCTTCTCAGAGGAAAGCCTGTTCTGGGCAGCGTTTGCAGAATGACAGCCTACCTTGTCGCTTCTCTTCACTGCAGAGAGATGCAGTGCATTCACTAATTTTGATTGGTCAGTTGTGTTGGGCTTAAACTGTGCTACATATGTATAGCAGTGATTTCCCTACCCCCCCCGCTACTGTTTTATATATGGATGCTTTTTCAAAAGGCTAAATTTATAAATGTATTGAATGTGACTCTCAGATTATGCAGTCATTAGTCTTTATCTTTAAAATAATTTGCTCTATTTTGGTTTGTTCTTCAATAGTGCCAGCATGGAAGAAAATGCAATGATGGAGAGAATTACACAGTATAAAGTATATATTCTTTTTAGAGCCTTTGATAATTATATTTAAGAATATCTTGGTGCTATGTAATCTTTTTGTTGAAATTCTTTGTCCTGTAACTAAAAAAGGAACTACTGCATCTTTACTATGAACCAAATTGAATTTTAGCCAGTATGTTTGTATGCAGGTCTTTATTCTTAATGTATTCCAAATGAGTCTAAACAAAACAACATATTTAAGATCATTACAGATACCTTTATTCATTCAACAAATATTTGAGTTCCTACTATGTGCAAGGCATAGTTTTAGGCACTGAATGCAGCAGAATATTCATCACAATATGATCAGAATATTATTTTCTTATTAACAGGTAGATTTTTGAATTTATGTATACTATAGAGAAAATTATATTTTCTTGCTTGCTTGCTCATTTTCATCATGTACACAAGTAATTAGGTTAATATGTTTTAGAAAAATGCTATAAAATTTTATTATATTGGGGAATATTAATTTGTTTACACCTTTAGTGATACCTTTATTTTATACTTATTGGCCATTTGCTAACATAATTTCTTTGTAATAGTTAATGCTGTCTTTAATATTTATGTTTGTATGTTTTCTCTGAGAAAGCAGTTCAGGAAACTTTTGCTAAGTACTTATAACGAATGTGCAAGGCACTAGTGACATTAAAGATAACAACGTAACTTAGTTTCATGTTTTCATAAGTTAGATAAAGATAAAAATAAAAATTGATCACTTCAGGAAATAAAGTTATGCACCCAGGAGAAAAAAAATGATACTATAGATACAAAAAACTTCAAGCTTTAACTTAAAATATAGGACTATAGTTTTAGTGCTGGAAGGGGTTTTAATGATTTCTTGTCCATAGAATACCTCTCAGTGTTCATTAATTTAGTGTCTTCAGATTCTGAGAAAAAAAAATTTTAATTTAATGTTATTCATTATTTTACATATTCTTTTATAAAATGCTATGTAGTTTTTACAAAATAGCAGAAATACTTAGAATTATTATGATGTTAATTTTTACTATTACTCATTTTAGAACTCTCAAAAGTATTATTTTGCTCTTAATGCAGACTGATTTCAGTTTGTAATTTGCTAATGAGGATATTTCATTAAATATCAAAGCAATTCACATATAATTTTGACACAGTCTACAGCATCTCATCCTCTCCTTATAACTTGCTAGAGTTCTACATGGAGGATTTCATATTGATAAGAGGTCTGTATACAACTTGGAAGATACTTTATGAAAAATCTCCTTATATATTTCTAAAAATTTCTTCACAACCTGAGATGTCAAAAATTTGCTCATGCTAAAATTTTTTTTTAAATTACTGTATGTATTTAGAAAGTTTGAATTTTACTGGTCTACCAGCCATATTGAAAGACTGATGTGACATATTTTTAATACAAAACTGATTCCAAAGGGGGGTTATTAGCATGACTTAGGTTGGTTGCATAGAGGTTACATTATGATAGCTTTATTTAATGTGAACTTTTCTAGCCATACACTTGACTGCTAAAAAGGAGAGTTCGTTTATTTTTAGGAAGACAATCTCAACATATCCTGTAGCATCAAATTTATCAAATATATAGATCATTGGATTCTGATCCAGATTTCATTTATTTTTGCCTGTAGGTTCTTCCCTTTTCAATCCATCCTTCAAAAGCTGACAAAACAATATTTCTAATGTCTCTGTTTCTTACAGGATAAAATATAAACTTCTTAGTCTAGAATATCCCAATTTGATTTACCATCACTTTTATTCACATTATTTATATTCCTGCCAAACTAGACTACTGGATGTTCCCTAAACTGCCATCTTCAAACTCTTTCATTTAGAAAGGCTCTTCCCTATGTTTGGAATTTATTTCTTCCTCACTTTTACTTCTTAAAAACATTCTTGTCTTTTAAGGCTCAGCTTAGGTGTGGCACCTCCTCCATGAAGCCTTCTCCAATTTCTCCAGGTGAGAATGTTTATGTTCTCTTTAAATTTTCTTCTGGCATTTTGCCTGTGTTTTTCCTTTACAAGAAACAGTTATGTCTTATCACAGTTTACCTCATGCTAATCTGTGTTCATGTCACAGTCCAGGTAGTAGACATGGGAGAAGGGACGGGATTGTTTTGTGTCTTTGTAAGCCTAGCTGCTAGCACAGTGCTTTCCCCTTAGGTATTTAATAATTTTTAAAAATTAAGTTAATGGAAAATAAACTACTAATATAAAATTTAACACATTATTTTAAAATGACCAAAAAATTGAGTTACCATGAAACTCAGTTACTCACATTTGTGTACTTAATAAATTTAGTATAATTTTAGAGCATCAAAGCTGAAAAATACTCCAGATGGCGGTGGTAGTGGAAAACCTTTGGCACTGAAGTCCAGATACTTGAGTTCAAATCTTACCTATATGATGTGGGCTTATAAAAATGAAAAAAGACAGTGCTTTTATTCTGACTTACACTGGAGGGAGGTAAATGAAATGACATGTTCACAGATAAACTTCAGTTATGCTATGAGAGGTAGAAGGTTTAGATAATACATAGTCTTTGCCCTCATGATCTTACAGTTTAGTTGGAAGTTAACACACACAGTCCTTACCTATATTTATTTCAAAGACTCAGTGATTTCATCACTAAGTATGTCTTTCAGTTATTCATATAAAAACACCTCCATGCCTTAGTTGGTACCATAGTCAAAAACTTCATCATCTGCCATATAACCTTTTGATGATAAGCCTCTGAATGTAGCTATGCAGATCTTAAGACAACCGATACACAGTCCATCACCAGACCTCTCATTGAAAACTTTCTCAGCTTTGTGGATCCTGTCAGAGCTCGTGGTCTGCCGGCAAAGCTTTTGAAAACCCAGGGGTCAAACTTGAATGGTGGTTTCAAGACAGTACAATAATACAACAAGTGTTATATACCCTCTGCCTTCAGAAGTACCATATTGGGCAGAGGAAGGGAGACAAAGTTTATATAGGGAGCATATGGTGTGGTAAGAGGTTAGACGTTTACAGCAGATAGCTATTATATACAGAATGAAGTGACTAAGACTGTTACTAGATGTGTGACCCTGGGAAAGGTATTTAATCTCTCAGTTCTGCAGACAACTTTGAAGGACTCTAAGTTGAATGACAAATCCAGGTTCATAGAAGAAATGTCTTCTCTTGCAAGTTCATTAGACTCAGGAAATCCCAAGTTAGGTACAAAGAAAAACAAAATATTAGAGAGTTAGAAAATAAAATGCTGGTGACATATGAGGTGAAAAGTAATTACTGTCTGGGGGCATTAGGAAAGGCTTCCTGAAGTAGTTGGCTTTTTGAATGGGCCTTAATGAATAGGTAGGAGGTAAACAGATGAAGATAGAAAGGAGAGCATTATTGGCAGAAGGAATAACATGATCTAAGAATAAATAATTTAAGTAACAATACAATATACAATAAACACATTAGAAAAATGTACAATAAAATATGGGGGGAAATAACAGTTGTGCTTTAAAGGAAGAGAAAGATTTTAGCAGGCTAAGATATGGGAGAGGGCTAGCATGGGTGATAGACTCTGCAAATGCAGAGAAGGAATAAAATTAGAGAAATGTATAGTTTGGAAATAATGTGGAATATATGAAGAACAATAGAATGATAAGAGGCTGCAAAGGTAGTTTGAAACTAGATAGTGGGGTAGAATATTTAAATTCATGCAAATATGTTTCATGGTATCTCCTTTTTAATAATTTATTAAACATTTATTAAGCCTATTAATAACAATGCACAATGAATAGTAATGCACAATGTGCTAGGAATGAGAGACATGAAAATGAAATACTACACAGTCCCTGCCCTCTAGGGGTTAATAGCTTAATGGGAAAATAAAACTTTAGCATATAGAAATGAGGATGATATATGGTAGAATATAAACAGGACAAAGGAAGAATTAAAACAGAATGCCACAAGAAATGCCAGGAAGGAAAGATCACTTTTATTCACAAATTCAATTTTATTTTCAGTTCCAAATTTTCTCCTTTCTGCTCCTTCACCAATTGAGAAGGCAAGTGAAATAAAACCCATTACAAATGTGTATGAAGATACAAAACAAATTAGAAGAAAATATGCTTGAATCTGTACTCTTTAGTGCACCACTTCCCTTTCTGGATAGCATGTTTCTCCGTGAGTTCTTTGGAACTATGCTTGGTCATTGTGTTGATCATAGGTACTAAGAATTTCAGACTTGATTACCTTTACAATATTCTTGTTTCTATATAAAGTATTCTGAATCTGAATTTGTATTAGTTCATATAAGTCTTCTCAGGTTTTTCTGAAACCATCACTTTACTCATTTCTTATAGCACAATAGTATTTTATCGCATTCGTGTACCATAACTTGATTAGCCATTCCCAATTGATGCTCATCCCTTCAGTTCCTAATTCTTTGCTGCCACACACAAAAAAAAGCTGCCATAAATATTTTTGTACTATGGGTCCTTTTCCTGTTTGAATTCTTTGGGGGTATAGTCCTATTAGTGCTATTGCTGGGTCAGAGAGTATGCACAATTTAATAGATATAAAGTGTTAGAGTTGTTTTAGTTTGCTTTTCTCTCATTATTAGTGATTTGGAACATTTTTTTCATGTGGCTACTGATAGTTTGGATTTGTTTCTCAGAAAACTGCTCATTTTTGTCTTTTGACCCTT